ACTTTTAATCCAGGTTACACTAATCCACACTTTTAATCCAGGTTACAATGATCCACACTTTTAATCCAGGTTACAATGATCCACACTTTTAATCCAGGTTACAATGATCCACAATTTTAATCCAGGTTACACTAATCCACACTTTTAATCCAGGTTACAATGATCCACACTTTTAATCCAGGTTACACTAATCCACACTTTTAATCCAGGTCACAATAATCCACACTTTTAATCCAGGTTACAATGATCCACACTTTTAATCCAGGTTACAATGATCCACAATTTTAATCCAGGTTACAATAATCCACACTTTTAATCCAGGTTACACTCTTCCCTCAATGACACATTTTACAAAGTAGCTACATATTGTGCAGGTATAAAGATACATTTGTATATATTTTTGTGTACATTTATTTTTTAAGTTATTTGACTAACTTTTATTTTTTATTATTCAATATTTTACTAACAGAATAGTCAAATAGCAACATGTTTTTTGTACAATTTGCTATGTCAGTCAAATGTTCAATTTTGGAATAAAGGGGTGGAAATTAAAATGTTTGGGGATTTTTTTTGCCAATTCATTGATTAATCGAAAAATAATCAACTGATTATCAGAATCAGAATCCGATTATTGTAATAATCGTTAGTTGCAGCCCTAGTATTTTTAACTTGGCACTGTATGCATTGCTTGCACGTGAAAAAAGTAAATCACATTGTTCGTGTAAAAAACAAGAACAACCTATAATAGTTCAGTCATGATGTAGAGCTTCACAGAACGTTTCCTATCAGAGCTCTCTTTACGACACCTGTGTTACTGTTTGATGGGTGGACCGTCCCAGTCAAACCCCTGCACTGTTCCCATTATGAGTCACGCCGATATGGGCTGAGCATGTGCACTTGTGCTTCCAGTTGCTTGAGAGAATACGCGAAAAAATACGCTCTGCTCGGAGAGAATTTAACAACTTTAAACACTTTCACACTTACTATAAACTGTTTTATTTTTTCCTGTTCTTTAAACTTTTTGTTGCTGGTCGTTTTGTTGGTTTTACTGTTTATTTTACGTACTTTTAAGTTACGTGATCCGGCAGTGTTGTGCTAACATGGGTTCAGCTCACACAAAGCTGGCTGAGCTGAGATGAAGATCACCAGTCAGGCAAGTTGCCCTGGTTTAAAAGGTGTTTTTCTATTTCTTGACTTTGTTGTAGTACTTCCCTGCTGGTTCTTGTTTTGTGCTGTATTCTTTTAGGTGTTAATGATTTACGTGAATCGTGGTGCGCTAAGCTAAGCGGAAATGTTCAGATTGATTCGGATTGAACTCACATAAACTCACATTTTTGACTCTTCCGGTAAGATAGCACCCGTGTACTTGGCTTGCAACCCACCTCTGCGGATGGTGTTCGAATTATTTATGTTTTGTTCATTTTTTATCTGGGACATAAACTCGCTGCTGGTGTATGACCGACAACAGCTTCTGGATCTTAGTTTTTCTGCCACCAATGTCGCTTATTTGGACCAATATGAGCGTACCTCTGGACCCCAACCACCCCCCCACCCCCCGTGGAGGACGTGCTAGCTTACCTCCGCTGCGCTCCTCACCTCCCTGCCCGGAGACATCGCTTCAGACGCCGGGGAAAACATGCTGGGTGGCTGGTAATGCCTAAAGCCCTGCGCGCTGCATCTTCCTTTTCAGCTGGTGGTCATGGTCTCCCTCTCCAACTTCCCGCGTGCCCGGACCAGGTAAACAACGGGAGTTGTCAGCCGGTGCGTAGCTCGGGCTGACCTGGAGGGGCTGTTATTGAAAACCTGAGGCCACTGATACGCGCGAACTTCACTGCTGCTGGGTCCACTTTGGACAGTATCTGGATGTGTTTGGTCAATGCAAGATCTGCTACCAACAAAACTTTTTTTCCTCAGGGACTACTTTCAAGAGCATGATTTGGACTTTTTCTGCATCACAGAGACTTGGATGTCTCTGGGTGAGTCCAGCGCCTTGACAGAATAATTGCCACAGAACAGTCTGTATTTTAACGCCTCGCGGCCATCAAGCCGGCATGGTGGTGGATTATTAACAATATTCAAATCAACTTTTGACTGTAAACAACTGCCCATCCCAGTTTCCCACGCCAGCTTTGAGCTGAGCGTCTTTGAACTCGGACATTCACCTCAGACTTTAATTGCACTCGTCTACCGCCCACCTCGATCTAAGGATTTCATAAATTAGTTTTCTGATTTCTTGGCTGAAATCACACCAAAATATAATCATGTTTTCATTATTGGGGACTTTAATTTGCACGTGTGCTGTCCTGAGAAGCCCTTGGTTAAGGACTTTTGAGATTTATTGGACTCATTTAATTTAACTCAGCATGTAAACGGTCCCACCCAAGAGCGTGGACATACATTGGACCTTGTTTTAACACGTGATGTAACTGTTTGTAATCTTGAAATTGGTGATTATGTTTTTTCAGACCACATGCCAGTCCAGTTTGAGTTCAGCCTCCCCCATCTAACTCCTAAGCCGTGCATTCCTGCACGTAGTAGCCGGGCCATTAA